GCAGCCAAGGAACCTCCCCGCCTGCGCCCCAAGGCACGCGTGGTACAACCATGAACACCAACGAAGCCAAGGAGTATCTGGCCCGGAGGGAAATCCCTCAGCTTTTCGAGGTAAGAGGCTAGAGCCAACAGAGGGGTAGGAGGAGCTGGAGAGAGAATAGCCGGCGGTTCGGGGTAAGGTACTTGTGCCCTGTCACATCTTCCCCGTGTGGGGCACGGAAGTGAGGCGCTTGCTGAGGCTCTCTCGCCCGAGGGTAGTCCCCTTTCCCGTGGTTTGCCGAGGTCGCTATCAGATGGCTGGGCTTAGAAGCCCGCCTGTCACCTATCAAGTTTCCGTCTCCAGACAGGGTTCTGAAAAGCAGCTGCCCCCTGAGCGCCCCTCGGATGTGGACACCCAGGGTGGGTTGCAGAAAGCGGCCTGGCCGTACTCTCTGGGGGAGAGAAGCAGTCAGGCCAGGTGAGTAAATTGTCGCCCAGCGTGAGACAAGGACAAGAAACAGAGAGGTCCAAAGCCCTAGTCCCTCTACATGCTAAGGGTCCGGACCTCTGGAGAGAGGGGAAAGATGGGCGGAAGCAGCTCTCCCTAGGGACAGCTTGGAGGAGAGGGATGAAGATGCAAAAAACCAATCCCAGCCCATCAAGTGCAGCACTACCTCCCGGGTGGCAGGCACCCAATGGTGCTGTGCGCTTTCGGTGAATGAACTCCTGAGCACGTTTTGCCTTCGCCTTGGAAGGAATGGTTCCCCTCGCTTGCCCCAGAAGCTGCAGCTTTCCCCCATCGCTGGCCAACCCACCTAGAGATAGCGGGTCGGGAAGGGAGCGGCGAGACGGGCGTGACTCCTGTTGCTGTCCTTAGACCGCATCACAGTATCATCTGCACCAGGGACCTGGCAGGTGGAGGGACTTTGAGAATGTGAGAGAAGAGGTTTGAGAAATGAGCTAAAGGAACCTTGGTTAGTTCTAAGCCACAGCCTCCGTCTGGGGTTTTTCTATTCTTCTCTCCATATTTGAATTTTTTTAAAAAAATTGCTAAATCCTAAATGCTTTTGCTTACATTAAAAAAGAAAACAAAAAAGAATGGAACAGAGCCAAGCTTCTCTGTAGGCAGAGCATTGAAAGAGGAAATTCATTCACTGCAAACCTGGCCTCCCAATTCTAAAATCAAAATGATAGACTGATGAACTAAAAGTCATGAGTTTGTATTTTTCCTGTTTGGCGGATTTGTTCGGTTCAGAGGAATTTAAAATACCACTGGGGAAAATAATTTTCCCCCAATTTCCCCAACTATCTTTAAAATGGGCTGCCATAATTACATATCTTCCTTTTCTCTCACCTCTCTAAGTCACTGTTTTCAGGTCAAAGTCAAGATTTACAGGTAAATCTGAGTTCAAGCCTGCCATATGAAGCCCAAATCTAGCAAGTGTGTTGTTCCTGTATGAAAGTAATCAGGTGGTGTTGCATAAGAATAGATCTTAAGAATGTTTGGGAATTGTAAGAGTTTTGTTGTTGTTGTTAATTTTCAAACAATAAATATGGAGATGAAAAGCTGATGGATTTTAAAAATTGCAAATGTTACTACTGAGATCAATTTTATTTCTACACTTCTTAAAAAGTAATATGTAGGAGAGCCACCTGATTGCAAAATACTGCTAAATAGTAGTCGTTTTTCTTTATGGATGTGGGTACTGTTTTTCTTCCTTGATGAAAGGCAACTCTAGAGAATCTGGGTAGTTAGTTCATGAAAATCTATGCTGCATATGAAAATAAGTGATTGCTGGTGTTCCTTGTTCAGGTTTGAGGCTTTTCATTGACTTTTCTGAATATGAATGGAACAATTTTAAGTAATGAGACCAGAAAAAGAAGACCACTTGCTTAGGTGAAATGCAGTAATACAGTGTACTTAGAATCAATCCTGGACAATAGGAAGATGGAAGGAGACTGGCTGGTGACCTCAAAGGCTCCATCCTTCCAGTAAAATGCATCTGTGCTGTGCACAATACAAGAGAATAGCAAAATCTGGCAGTTCTCCATGTGATGACTGTAGACAGCAAAACCAAATACTTTAGGTTTCTAAACTGGATTTTCTTCATCAAAACCACAATATTCTAGGTATGTGAAGTTTAACAATTAGGTATCTATCAAACCCTGAAATGTGGACATCAGACACCATTATAGTCGAAGTGAGTGTTGAATTTACATATTACCAAACAATTAGATATAACTGACTTTTTCAGAATTTTTCCAGATGTGACACATCACTTAGGCTAAATGAGAAATGGTGTATCTCTGGTAGGTTCATATATGAAATACATTTCTATCTTTAGATTAATATTTTTCTAAAAAAGTACTTTTTCCCGATTTCATCATAAATTTTTTTGGGGGGGCTGGGTTATCCAGGATTAAATGCAGGCGCACTCAACTCACTGAGCCACATTCCCAGGATTATTTTGTATTTTATTTAGAGACAGGGTCTCACTGAGTTGCTTAGCACCTCGCTTTTGCTGAGGCTGGCTTTGAACTTGTGATCCTTTTGCCTCAGCCTCCTAAGCTCCTGGGATAACAGGCGTGTGCCACTGTGCCCAGCATGAAATCTTAATTTTTTATCACTTTATGTGATCTATTTTGATCTCATACCCTAGAGCAGAGCTTTGGCAATTAATTTTAATACTGTGGAAAGTCAAATTGGATTATTCAAGTTCTCAAAATATTAATTCAGAGACTGAATAATAATGTTTACTGGTTAACTTTAATTCCTGTTAGTGGTTAGCTATTCAAAGACTGAGGAATGGAACCCATTGTCTCCTTTTTAGAATTTATGCCCTTATGTCATTTTTGTTTGGAAAGTTAGAAATGTACATTTCCCAGTCAGAAAAGCTTCAATTGATTGTGTTCTCTTATTTGAGGCATTAGTAAAAGGCAAAACTAAAAGACATGATCTTGAGTGATTCATATTGTAGTTGGATTATGAATGGTGCATAGAGAATATGGTATTTTATGATATTTTTGCAAGATGTGCAGAAGCAATATATGGGTTTTGGAATCAGAAACTGAGTTGGAATCCTGGGCCTAGGAGTCTTTAGCTGAGTAAACTTGAGTAAGTCATTAACATTTCTGAGCAGCAATTTACTACTCTTAAAAATGGGGATAACAGTGCCTCACAGGGCTGAGATTACAATGGGTAAAATAGTGCATGAAAGACACAGAGGTCTTTCTGCATTGACTTGTCTGTTTCTGGCTCATTGTATAGGAAGAGTGCAGAAAGCTTAACTGCCACATCTGGATATACAGCAAGATCTCAACACAAACTGGATATAGATACCTAGCTTATTTTTTTTGCTCCTTTAGCACCTGAACTCATCCGATGGAGTTTCATACTCTAACTCACTCTACATAGGATTTCAGAAAATAAATGTATCCAGTAAGAATTGTCCACCATTATGGGCAAAATTTACAATTTGAAAGTAAAATATTGTATTTAGGAAAGCTGTTAACCTTTCCAAGAGTGTATGTTTTGTACATTAATAGCATATATTGGTAACTACAATCGCCTGATTTTTCCATGAGAAACCTGAAAGGAAATGTTTTGCATATCAGTCATTTTCCAAGGAGTTAGCATTTCCAAACTAGTAGCATTTAAATACATGTGGCATCTCACACAACATAAACAGAAAAAGTAATGGCATCAAATCTTATTTCCCTCTCTTTCTGTGTAATCTCAGTAGTTATTGTGGTCACTTGTTGCATAGAAAATAACATCTTTTTTTTTTTCCTCAGACTTCAATTTTTTGAATCACACTCAGATTTAAATTTTGAATGATTTTTTTTCCTAATCAGAAAAAAAAATTTTATTATGCACCCACTACCTGCCAGTTAAAGTGTTAGATGTAGAGATCTGGAAGGAAAAAAAATGAAACCCACTCTGTGTCATTTAAAAGCTTATAGCTTAGAAGAGACAAGGAACACAGTAACCAGTGTTTTCAGTATAAATAACAAGCGTGATATTTTATGCTAAGTACCATGGGAACACAGAAGAGGGGGACCACAGGCCAACCTAGAAGCTCAGGAAACACTTCCTAATAATAATGATGATGGTAATATCTAATCCCACTAACATTTGTGCAGTTTACTACAGGTCAGCAACTTACTATGCACTGTACAAATATTGTATTTGAAAAATTCTTTACAATCCTTCTGGGCACCAGGGCATACACCTGTAATCCCAGCAGCTTGAGAGGCTGAGACAGGAGCATCATGAGTTCAAAGCCAGCCTCAGTAATTTAGCAAGGCCCTAAGCAACTCAGCGAGACCCTGTCTCTAAAATACAAAAAAATAAATAAATAAAGACTAGAGATGTGGCATAGTGGTTAAGTACCCCTGAGTTCAATCCCTGCATATATATAATCCCTGTGAGATAGATATTATTACACCCATTTTGCAGAAGACACTAGGGCTTAGAAATTTAAAAGATGAGTAGGAGTAAGATAAATAATGCCTCAGGCATTTTTACATCCTGCATTTTGTCTCACTTTGATAGGACTTTTCTATTTTAAACTGTGTAGTTGCCTGAATTATTTAAAAGGCAGAGAACGCTGAGTTGATATCATTTGGTCATCATGAACTTAAGGGATTATCCTAATTGCTCAATTTCAACTTTTTTAAAATTAAAAATAAACATTAAGGACAAAACAAATAATTCACAGATGGGACATAATAGTATTTTATCAAAGGTGGTTTTAAAACATACTTTATTGGTATGTATATTTTTGTATTTCAGAGCCTTTTGAATGGACTGATGTGTTCTAAGCCAGAAGACCCAGTAGAATATTTGGAAAGTTGTTTACAGAAAGTGAAGGAACTAGGTGGCTGTGACAAGGTGAAGTGGGATACATTTGTCAGCCAGGAGAAGAAGATCTTACCTCCACTAAATGGAGGACAGTCACGAAGATCCTTCCTAAGAAATGGTAATGTATATGTAGAATAATAGCCAGTTTACAGGTAGAGCAGTTCTCTTTAAAACATGCCATATGGACTGTAAGCAGTAATTTATTGGGTTTATAAATGGCTGGAAGGCTATGAAGCCCTGGAATATGATTAATCTCTTTCTGCTACTAATGCTAATCGCCTTCATGATAAGACAAACACAATTACATACCATTGTCCAGCAATTTGCTAAAGACTTAATGAAATTTTATATTACTGACTTCGTTATTTTGCAAAATGAATTACATTAAAAACCAGTGGATTATTTTAAATTGCAAGTAAGCTTTTTCCAACTACATGAGTAGAATACTGATAAAATTGGTAGTTATTATATAACCACTCACCATCTGTCATTAGCTAGAAAGAGATTTAGCTTATTAATATGTTTCCAAGTCCAGAGTTCATATTAATGCATCTGAATAAATGAATGTAAAGTTTATGCTAGTTTATTCAATAAGGATTTGTTAGGCAGCTATCTAATGCAATATATTAGAGTAGGCATTTGGGTGCTATAAAAGAAGGAGAAGAAATAAACTTGTTTCAATTTAGGAGTAGTTTATAATTAAGAACTGGAAATTGTTAGACAAGAGGTGCTATTTGTTTCTGAAATATGTACTTCTCAAAACCACGAATTGGACATGAGCCAACTAGCCTTTCAGGCTCTAGATGAGTTGTGATGTATAGTAGTTTGTAAAAAGTAGAATCAATTCCAATCAGGGGAAACAAATTCTTTTCTAGTGGCCAATATTTTCAAAACTTAAACTGTTTTAAAAATTGTACCACAAAAAGTTTTCAGCTAAACCAACAAAATTTGAAGTGGAAACAATTCTATTTGCAATTAATATGTAGAGGAAACAAACCTTAGTTTGTTTAACCTTATTCAGTGATGACCCACTTAGATTTTATTTGAATGTGGTATGGGGAAAAGTCATGGTGTGATAATTCTTAAGAAGCACAAGCAGAAGATGGAAAGTAAAAGTACCATTTCCTCAAAAACAGTATTAAAGGGCAGAAGAGTCCTTCCCTGTCGATGCAGGAATCAATGCTAGGTAATGCCAGGTTTTACTGGAAGGCGATGTGACTCCTCCCCAAATTTTCCAATGTCATTGAAAAACAATTGAAACATCTGATGTTGTTATTTAAAACTAACTTCAGAAACTCTCAAAAGTTCTAACAGACCCCACAAAACAAGAAATAATTAGAAAGTAAATTTGGTGTGACCATAAGGTAATAAGATTCGTGCTCAGAAGTCAAGTGTGGTGGTGCACACATGTAATCTTAGCTTCTTAGGAGGCGGAGGCAGGAGGATGACATATTTAAGGCTATTTTGTCCATTTAGCAGGACTGTATAACCAAATAAAAAGTAAAAAGGGCTGGGAATGCAGCTCAGTGGTAAAGTGCCCCTGGGTTCAACCTCCAATACAAAAAAAATAAACGAGCTCTCAGAATCAGCAGTTGACTTCATCACTCTACAAGGTTTCTCACGCCAATTCATCTTAGATAGACGGTAAAACATCCCTCACTACATACTAAACCATGTCATTACATTCTGTGGTAAGTCCTAAGGTTGAGGTCATGTCTTCCTGCTTATAAAATTAAATTTGTACTGAATATTTCAGTTTGACTCTTAGAACCATTACAATTCTACAGAGATTTTTATTCTTTGCATAGAGTTTACTCTTAGACCCAGTTCCTGGCTAATAACAGGTGTCAGTTCCAAACTGAAAAATTTATTCTTTGTAAGTCATGTGGTTGCTGGTTCACTGAGAACAGTGTAGGATACACAGAGTAGGGAGTGAATAAGATTGATGTTTAGGGCCCCAATTCAAACTGGACAGTTTAGGTTTGGCACCTTTGTTGGCTACAGTCACCAGAGTGACTTTAGCTAGTTATTGCTATAGCACACTTTGCACATTATTGCTTTTGGGTGAGCAACATTATATTTTAGTGGGCTTTTAAAGTTTATACACCTTCCCAATATGGCTAACTTACTTCCAGAGGTGTTATCATGCTAATAAAATTTGGCCTAATGTTCAATACATACCTCATGTCCTTGTTAGATCAAGTAAGGTAAATATGGGGAATTCTTTTCCTAAATCTCAAAGCACTGCTAACACTTCAGATAGTTCTGGATTTAGTCTAATGTATTTTTATATTTTAAGAATTAAATCTAAGAGGTTATGACCTTCAATTATAGGTAAACTGCTCTCAGACTGGGTATAAAAAGTGTTTTCGATACAATTAAGCCTTGATACTGTTTCTTGGCTTGATAATGTGTAGAAACCAGGCAAGCTAACAGTGGGGACTAAACTAGAAAACAGAACTAGACAGTCAAGTAGAAATTTTACAAAAATATCAAGGTGAACAAAACACATCTATGGGATTATATTGGGTTCATAAATAGCCAGTTTGGTATCCTGAGCTAGCAAGATAAACTAATATGGCAGTAGGTATAACTGTTATCAAAATAAAATTGCTTGCTAATTTTAGGGTTTCCATATCTTCTAATGCTTTACTATATTTTCCAGCCAGAGGTCTTTTCATTAATAATCAGATAAGCCTTTCTATGTACTAGGGTGACAAGAATGTTATACTCTAATGTCCTATTACTGAAATATATGCTAAAAGATGGAAATTGCTTTCTAAACTGATTTATTTTGTAATAATAAAATTTTGTTTTATGAAATGCTTTACACATTTGTGCTTTGTCAATTTTAGCTATAATTTGTGCACTAGGTTATTAAGTTCAACAACATTGCTAACTGTTCAGTAACTTAAAACAAAATGATGATTTTCAAAAATAGATTACTCAAGAAAGTTTTGCATAAATATTGATGTAGATATGCTAACATATAAATATCCCAAAAAGTGTTCTATGACATAAAACATTTTTATTATCTAAGCAATTGCTTTTGTAAATTAGAATATAATAAAGCAACAATAAATTATTGGCTGACAGTTCTTAACATGTCAAATGTGAGACAACCATCCTTTTTCCCTGTCATCTGCATATAACTGAACAGATAATAATCTATGAATAAGAGTTCTAGTTGCAACCATCCATAGTTATCTTCTGGAATATCTCATTGTCGTTGTATTCAACATGTTGAAAACCAAATACACCCTATTTGCATTAAAACTGCCACTCACATCTCCTTTTCTTTTTCCTATAAAGTCAGTCAGTGAGTCAGTGGTGCAATAAAATAACCATTTCTTGAGATGACTGTGTACCAGATATTCTTTTAGGACTCATTGTAGCCACCAAAAAAAGAACAGGCATGTTACCTGCCCTCAGGGAGCTTACAGTCTGGCAATGAAATCAGGCATTCAAAATATAATTGCTATAGCAATGAGTGCTGTGGGAAATAATATGTTGTGGACTAGACCAGTGAGCTGACCAGTGGACTGGATACAGTATAGATAGGGTTCAGGATAAGCTTCCTGTGAATATGCTTATACTTCAAGTGAATATTCTAAGCTTCAAGTGATATGCTAATACTTGGAGACAAAAAGTTGAGTGTGTGGTGGCTGGAGAAGGATGGAAGAGATTGCAGATATTTCTGAGGTAGAGAAAGAAGGTGTGATATGGTCAGGAGTGAAAGAAGCCCAGTAGTTCTGGAACAGAAGGTAGAGCAGAGGAACACTACATGAAATGCAGATTTTTGGACTTGAGACCTAGAAATTGTTGCTAAGCCATCATCCCCTTTTATTTCTTGTGTCCTGAACCATGTCTTTACATGCAGCCTCTCATTTCCATTCCCCTTACTACTACTCTAGCCCAAACCCTCATTTCTCACCTATGTATTACTTTAACAGCCTCCTACTCACTGCTCTTCTGCTTAGTCTTTCCCTACTCAAACCCATTCCAGCCACCAGCAGATTAAGTTTTCTAAAATTGTGTGCCTTCTCTAGCCCCCAGATCCTCTGCTGAATTTATAACAGATCAAAGCTAAACCTTTTACCTTGATATTCAATGCTATTCACACTGTGGCCACACTTAAGCTACCCATCTTCTGGGTTTTCTCTATAGAAAACTATTTTAGTAAGGTGTTCTCTTTGTTATGGATTCAGCAAATGTTTATTGGGTGCTGGTTACCTGTCAAACTAGATGCCAGGGATGCAGAGTTCCAAATGATAGGTAAGGTCCCCACTATTGTGGAACTTATAGTCTAGTAGAAGAAAAACCACGAATGAAATGGAAAACTCTCAGTTGGTGAAGAGCATTAGTAATAGCCTTGAGAGTCACTGGTTGGCGGGGCTACACTAGTTTAGAAAGTCAGCAAAGTGCTCTTACAAGAGGAGGTATTTAAGCTGAGGTGTGAATGACAGCCAGCCAAGGGACCAACAGAGAAGGAGCATTTCAGACAACAGATTGGAGGGGTAAATGTGGAAGCAGGCAGAAAAGTCAAGTAGTCAGAGTAAAAGATTGGGAATAAATGGAAATAAATGGGAAAAGTGAGAGAAGAGAGTAATCAAGGATAATGCTTAGAGTTTGGCCTTGGGTTCACTAAAGCTATTGAACTTCAAGACAGAGCAGGTTACTGTTGTCAGTGCCTAATCTGACATGGCCTTTCCCATCGTTTTCTACAGACTATCCACTGTCATCTGTATACTCATCCACTCCTTTCATGAAACTAAAGTGAGCCCAGAGGGGTGGTGATCAGTAGTCTCATTCAGTTTATCAGCAGAGAAAGGAAAGATCTGATTGATACTCCTAAGGAGATGTGAGCTTTATGCTCTGCTTAGATATGGAAGCCACCCTCATAGAACCTCTCGGGGTGGTCTATTTTCTTCTTTCTGCAGGGGCTGTTTGGGTAGTTAGGGCTTCTGAGATACTGACACATGGAGTGAAGAAAGAGAGAGCCATAAACTACATATTGATAATTGCCTGATTTGGGCTTGTCAGGTCTGATTTCTGTCCTGTTGAATATGTCAATTGTATTTTCTGAGTCTTCGTATCGTGTGCACCAACTGAGATATACTTTCTAGATTTTTATCTCTGTGTTTGTCTTTAAAAATAATGGTCCTGCCTCTTTTGCAAGTCCTTTCCTACCACTCCAGATCAAATGGATTTACTCATTTATCTATCTACTGTGGTGTTTACCATGAGAGATTTTCATTTTAGCAGTTCTCCTGCCTCATGTGCACACAGCTATCAGATATAAGCATATGAGCTCTAGCTTATAAGCACTGAAGATACAGGATGACATCTTATTCTTCTACTGAATCTTCCTTAATACATTAACATGCCTGGCAATAAATGGCAAATATCTGCTACTGTCATATATGTAAAGTTAAATCACCATATTTACATCTTTAAGTCAAATAAATTAAATATAATAAATACTTGAAAAATAAAAGTAAATAATGTTGAAAACATTCCACATATACAAATTGCTTGCACCCTTCCACCTGATTGGTAACCAACCCTAATTTTTTGTTCATTATGCTACCAAACCATTCCACTAGACCTCCAGGGTTCCTGGATCATACTGAGTACACACATGTGCATTTGTAGAATGAAATGAAATATATGATGCATAAGCACTGGCTCCACGGGCAGCTACAGATGGTTTTGAAGGTTATGTACTGCAAAACTCCAGAGAATACTTTTTGCAGAGGCCAGAATATACACAACTCACCAAGCAAGACTAGGCAGTGTCTGAGAAGGTCTCTGTAGGCCACGGGGTGGCCAAGTCTAGTTCAATGCTGTTTTAACGAATAGTTTTATTGGAACACTCATTTGTTTACCTATTGTCTATGACTGCATCCATGCTATCATGACTGAGTGGAGTACAAGATCATCTGGCTTTCAGAGTGCAAAATATTGTCTAGCCCTTTATGATAATGTTTGCTGGCCACTTGGAAAGTCTTCTTATTAATAAAATTCCTTCTACTCATAGTTTAAATGTGAAAAGTGTTTTATTTTGCTTTTTTCCCTTTTCAAAGTTATCTTACTCTTTTGCAGTAATGCCTGAAAATTCAAACTTTCCATATCGGCGGTATGATCGACTCCCTCCAATCCATCAATTCTCCATAGAAAGTGACACGGATCTCTCTGAGACTGCAGAGTTAATTGAGGAGTATGAGGTTTTTGATCCTACCAGACCTCGTCCAAAAATCATTCTTGTCATAGGTATGAGAACAGAAAGCAAATTTTGTTTATATTTTTACATTTTGAAAAATGCCAATTATGTATCATATTTGAAATGCTTAGCTGAATAATGATGAGGCATAGAAACAAAAGTTCAAGGGAAAATTGAAATATTTTAAAAATAATTTTCAATAAAAAAAATTGTTATAATGTAACCTAATGCTTATTGAATTTTCTTAGATTTCTATTACAATGTCATAGGAATTCTTTATAATGAATTCAAAGCATCTCTTCAAGATTTATGGCTCTGTGGTTTTATTTATTTACTCTTTACTAAAATTACATTAGATGTTTTCTAAGTATGATGTTTTTCCCTTTAAATCAGCAAATTGAAATTTTATTCACTTAACTTTAGAGGGAAAAGTAAATAATAATATGTTGGTAAGGATTCATATAAATGAACTTCCTTGTGGCAAACTGATACCTACAATAAAATTTAAATTTCCATGTTATTAGACAAGCAAATAAAAAGAACAGTGTTTTATACAGCATAAGACATCTGAGGATTAACCAAAATAACAAAGATAACCATTCATTTTTTAAATTACCACTGTGAATCTTACACTGAATATAAAAAATATCAGCCTGATGCCATTTCACAAGGAATAAATAATGAAAATGTTTTAAGTAGGTTGCAAAATGCATTTTTTTCTCACTCTTGCAAATTCTAACTTTCTCAAAATCTGTGAAAATCATAAAGAGTCCTGTGAACCAGCAACATATATAGTCATTGTATCACTTTCCAATTTAACTGGGCCTTCATGGAGATGACCAAAAGCAAATATGTAGTGTGAAATGTTCAGAGCTGTTCTAACCAGTAACTATTAACAGAAAACTAAATGTATACAGCCCCCAGGCTAAGAAGTAGTGCTCCAGAGAACATAATGAAGATGGCAACTAGCATACAAGCATGCACATAAACGACTAAGCTATAGCAAGAACTTAGGTTGACCAATGTTTATGTTTATGTTAATTAGGAGTGAAATTTGTATATTGCAGAGTGAAATGACAGATATATTTCTCCCCAAATTGTTAACAATATTGCTGGAAGATATTTAAAAATCAGCTGGGGGTGTAATAGCTCTGTGGTGGTACAAGGCTTTAGGTTTTATCCCCAGAGCATTGCAAAGAAGCAAACAAGCAAAAACAAAGCAAAACAAGAAGAGACAGAAGAAGTCAGCTCTCAAAAAAGTCAAAATATTTGTAGGGCTTATTATAGCCATTATTATACCATAAACCTCTGTTTTTAGAAATGGAATACTTTTCTGTGTCTAGAAATTTGGGGTTCTTACCCAGACGGCAAGGAAATAACTAAGAGAGAACTATAGGTGAAGTGTAATGGAATTCTCTTACCATTTCATGGTTTAAAGGTGGACTGAATATATATCTTCAATTTTGTTTTTCTTGTTGCTATTAGTAAAGTTATTGGTGATTATAAACAAGATGAATAAATGGAAGTTTGGTTGTCCATGAAAATGGTATATAAGACCAAGTTGCTCTTGTATAAAACGGCACATATGATTTTTTGTTTATTGTGAATTTTATATGAAAATGACTAAAATATTTTAATAAATTGAATTTTTGGAGAAGATGTAAAACCCTCACATCCCACCTCTTTCACAGTTCTTTTTTGTTTGGTGAAATCAACTTACTTCTCTGGATTTGATTCTGGTTACAGATTTACATGCTGTACATTTTGCATATTATAAGAGTGACACAGAACCAATGTGTATATATAATATTTAAATGATTGAGGCAAGGCAAGAAGATTCTTAATTTTTCTAAGAAAACTAGAGCAATTTTAAGACTTTCTGGGAATTATAAAATAATTGTACCTAAATCTTACAAATTTTTATTCCATCCAGAAAAATGTATGTGGGGGAAGGTACAGAGGCTCACATGGTATTACATCTAAATAAACAAAATTTCCCTTCTGGCACTACAGATTTATTTTAAACTGATCTTCTTGGTACAGATATGAATTCCTTTTATGTGAATGTAATCATAAAATCTCAGAGTTAATATTAATTAGAGATGAATAGAACAAAACAGCTCATTCTGGCTTTAAAGAGAAGAAAATAAAATTAATTTGTTAGCAAGTTTCAGTAATCAAACTCATCTAATAAATCAGTGTTATTTTCTTTCAATTCTGTCAGTCTTATTTTGTTATTGTTATTGTTGTCTGATATTGCCTCTATTATTTAACAAAATAAAATTTTTTCCTTGAAGTTTTTATAACTTTCTCAATGTGTTTGATTTTTAAAAATTCAAAGGAATTTGTAGGCTCTGAATTTGATGGTTTCTGAGATCAAGCATGGAAATACCTATATCCTGAATTTTGCTTTTTCAGATTAAACCAGATTGAATTTGTCAATGGTGTTGATCATATTATATTTTTCTTGAAGCCAATCCTTGAATAGCCTGTGTTAATAGACCAAAAGCAACTATTTGGAACCTTACATTTTTGTTGTTGTTTGGTGCTTTTTTTGTTTTTGTTTTTGCTTTTTCTTGTACCAGGGATTGAGACAGGGTCTCACTAAGTTGCTTAGAGCCTCACTAAATTGCTGAGGCTGGCTTTGAACTTGCAATCCTCCTGCTTCAGCCTCTTGAGTCATTGGGATTATAGGTGTGAACCACCACACCTGGTTTAGAATTTACTTTTGAATTGTAAAGTAAAGAATTTAATCTGGTAGAAGCAGAGGTGGTTTATGATATTAAGTGCAGACAGAATGTATAGTATCTTAGAGAATGGTCAAAAATGTTAACAAATTCCTATATTAAGTTTAATAAAGCAATAAAAAAGTGAAAGCTAGATATTGTTTGGTGCATTGTTTGGTTCTGGGGCTCAGAAATGGTTTAGTCATATTAGTTGTTCTTATAATTCTGCCAACCAAATCTGCCCACTCTGAAATTTTCTTCATACAAGAAAAGTAACTTTATGTTTTACTTATATTATTATTTGAAAGGATAAAAAATACTTATTAAATACATAGATATAAAATGACTTCAATATGCAAAAACTTTGACATGAGTAGAAAAAATATGAATTCACTTTTCTTTTGATTTATTATTTTTAATATTGCTTAATAATTATAATTATGTTTCAGTGAATATTACTAATACATATCACTACTTTTAGGCATTGAATTTTTTAAATATATTTTTGTTGGTACAAATTATAATTATACATAATATTGGGATTCATTATGCCATATTTGTACATACAAATAACATAATTTGAACAATCTCATTCCCCAGTACTTCCCTTTCCTCTTGTCCTCTCTCTCTTACCTGCTTGCTCTGATCTCCCTTCCATTATTATTATTATTAATTAGTGAATTATACATATAAGCAGGATTCATTATAGTATGTTCATACATGGATGCAGCAAAATTTGGTAGATTTTGTATCCCAGTACTTCCCTGTCCTCTTCCGTCCCTCTTGATCTCTTTCCTTTACTCTGTTGGTCTTCTTTCTATTTTCCTGCAATCCCTCCTTTATTATTATTATTACTATTACTTTTTTCTCACTTTCTGTTTAGCTTCTACATATGAGAGAAAACATTTGACCTTTGACTTTCTGAGTCTGGCTTACTTCACCTAGCATGATGTGCTCCAATTCCATCCATTTGCCAGCACATGACATAATCTCATTCTTTAAAGCTGAGTGAAACTCCTTTGTGTATATATATATATACACCACATGTTCTTTATCCATTCATCTATTGATGGGTATGTAGGCTGGTCCCATAACTTGCCTATAGTGAATTGCTATAAATATTGTAATGCATGTATCACGACATTATGCTGATTTTAGTCTTTTGGACAAATACCAAGGAGTAAGATAGCTGAGTCACAAGTGGTTTCATTCCTAGTCTTTTGAGGAACCTCCATACTGATTTCCATAGTGGTTATGCTAATTTACAATCCTTTGTTTCTTTTTCTCTACATCCTCTCTAGCATTTATTGTTGTTGTCTTCTTGAAGACTGCCATTCTGACTGGGGTGAGATGAAATCTCAGTAATAGTTTTCATTTGCATCTCTTTGATTGCTAACAATATTGGACATTTTTTCATATATATATTAGACCATTTGTATTTCTTCTTCCAAAAATGGCTGTTTAGATTTTTTGCTTGTTTATTGATTGGGTTATTTGTGGG